TTAATTTTGATTAATTGGAAGATAGTTTGAGCTAGGAAAATAAATATTAATGGACCTATTGAGCTAGGAAAATAGATATTAATGGACCTATTGAGCTAGGAAAATAAATATTAATGGACCTATTGAGCTAGGAAAATAGATATTAATGGACCTATTAACCTAGGAAAATAGATATTAATGGACCTATTGATCTAGGAATATAGATATTAATGGACCTATTGATCTAGGAAAATAGATATTAATCGACCTTTTGATCTAGGAATATAGATATTAATGGGCCTATTGAGCTAGGAAAATAGATATTAATGGACCTATTGATCTAGGAAGATAGATATTAATGGACCTATTGATCTAGGAAAATAGATATTAATGGACCTATTGATCTAGGAATATAGATATAAATGGACCTATTAATCTAGGAAAATAGATATTAATCGACCTTTTGATCTAGGAATATAGATATTAATGGACCTATTGATCTAGGAAGATAGATATTAATGGACCTATTGATCTAGGAAGATAGATATTAATGGACCTATTGATCTAGGAAAAAAGATATTAACAAATGGACCTATTGATCTAGGAAAATAAATATTAATGGACCTATGGATCTAGGAAGATAGATATTAATGGACATATTGATCTGGGAATATAGATATTAATGGATCTATTAATCTAAGAAAAAAGATATTAACGGACCTATTGATCTAGGAATATAGATATAAATGGACCTATTAAGCTAAGAAAAAAGATATTAATGTACCTATTGATCTAGGAATTATAGATATTAATGGGTCTATTGATCTAGGAAAATAGATTAATAGACATAAAGATCTAGGAAAATAGATTAATGGGCCTATAGATCTAGGAAAATAGATTAGTAACCTTTAGATCTAGGAAAATATATTAGTGACCTATAGATCTAGGAAAGTAAATTAAATGACCTATAGATCTAGAAAAATATATTAATGGCCCTATACATCTAGGAAAGTAAATTAAATGACCTATAGATCTAAGAAAATATATTAATGTACCTATACATCTAGGAAAATAGATTAAATGACATATAGATATAGGAAAATAGATTAATTGACCTATACATCTAGGAAAGTAAATTAAATGACCTATAGATCTAGGAAAATAGATTAATGGACCTATAGATCTTGGAAAACAGATTAGTGACCTATAGATCTAGGAAAATAGATTAATAATGGACCTATATATCTGGGAAAATGGCAGACAGAACTGAACTGTCAATGGTTTTTGTGATCAAAACTTTTAAACCAAACTAAAAATATTTCCGTGGTTCTACATAGTCCCCGGAATAAAAATGATTGATGCAAATCGGTCAAAGGGTTCATGAGTTATGATTAAGCGACAGACATACAAAAATCAGAGATTACTAATATACATTTACATACAAATATAATATTTAGGCGTAGCCAACATATTTCTTAATTCGTAAAGACATCCCAGCCGATATTTCTTAAATAAAAAGGTTTAAATACTACCTCTGCTTCTCTTTGTGACCAAAAACTTCTTGGCTTCTCCAGTCCATAATAATATGATAATAATTGAGCGAGATCATATATAAAAACATAATTGACTTAGATGTTTTATTCAAAGCACTCTGAATTCCTAATTGAATGGGCCATTTCCTTAATTTTAACCCGCAGATATTTTTATCACCCTCCCCCCCTTCAGTCCTAGCTACATCTATATTTACGACTACTCAACTAAAATATAAATCGTTCTTTTAAATTATTATTCATCTCACTTTCAAGATAAAAATACACTTCTAAATCAAACCAATTTTACATTTTCTATGCAACCTTCTTGACCTCAATTAAACCTTCAGTATTCAGAAATGGAACAAAACAAGTGCTTTTATTGGAAAGCAGTGATTCATCAATTCATTTTACAAACGTGTCCCCCCCCCCTGCCCCCGGCATGGTTATTTTTTAAACCAATTTTATATTAATTTAAGTCTTCTTGCTAGTTCTCAGCAATTTGCATATTTTCCGGAAACCTCGCTTTCGAGGATTTCTCCCTTAAATTTTGAACTGCATTCCAGACTAGGACCCATTTTTTGTTAAATGTAGAAATCCAGCGCTAGGTCAGATCAGCTGCCACAGCTGTTATTGTCCGGCAGGGTCAGCTTTTACAGCTGCTGCTGTAGTAGTAGGAGTTGAGGCTTGAAATCAGCTTGGGGAGGTTTAAAACCAGGAGTACATTAATTGGTTTAAATCTAGTGTACAGTGTTGTACAGAGGTGTACAGTGAATTGTGAGGTGATTGAGTGATGCGGGAAGAATATCCCAGCTGTCTGTGGAACAGGTGTGTGCTGTACTGTGTGTACGTCACTGTAAAGCAAATTCGCGCATTTTCTTGGACAAATATAATACAATTTTACGACACTGTTAATTGTTTATGACCCCTGTGTGTGTGTCCAAGAATTCCTATTTTAATCCAATATTGAAGCTAAAATTCTACTTTAATGCATTATGCATTAAAGCAGGGTTCCGAAGATTTATGTATGAGCTGTCTAACTTGTTTCATTACTGGGAAAATAAAAATCACTACTTTTAACTTTTTAACAAATTTCCACATCCTGTTAATGGTAAATATGTAACTGAAATTGGCTTAAGCCCTAAATACCGTGGTTCGGGCGGTGGGGAAGGGACAGTTTTACCCCAACATTGTCTTAATAACTTTGCAATGAAGTTTTTCCATAATAATAATATCATTTCATATATCATAACATCATTGATATAACATCATTGATATAACATCATTGATATAACAAAAACAAAATTGGCAAACCCTCCTCTCATAACACAAATCTTCCCAGTTTTCCGGGTTGTCTAGGTTTAAAAGTACTCCTTATTGCAAAATTTGTGTCAAAAATTTGCAAAAGAAGACGTTTATATTTTGCGCTAAAGACATATTACCTGTCATTTAAAGTACACTAAAGCAGCTGTCTTGATCTAATTTTTTACAATGAAATAAACAAAGTTCAAATAAACAAAAATAAAATAAGACTTGCATTACAAATGAAAAAAGGTAAATTTAAATCAAATTGACACCTTCACTTTTGAGTTAAATACTTTTAAATACATCACGTCAAAAAAACAAAGTAAGATTTAAATATCATAATTTTTCAAATATACCTCCTCTTATCGAAAAGCTATTGAGAAGATCAAAAATGTTTTGAATTTCTAGTATGTAATGTAACCAAAATAAACTAACTTTTCTCTAACTTGTGTTTACAAACAAAACTATAGTGGAGCTACAAGGTCACAAAGCCCTACCAGAAATGTTACCTAGATTTGTGTCTTGTTCACACTGCATAATGCAAAAATGTTAGGTTATTACTTTTTCAATCTAAATTTTTATAAAGATCCTCCCCATGGTTAATGTTCTTATTTTAATTTGTATTGGAAAGAATTCGTTCAAAGAAAGCCGATTGCAAAAATTTAAGAAAAAAGATTTTTTTTGGCACAGAGTAAGTGTTCATATTTCCATGTTTTTCTATGCAACCGGAGTTTACAGAGATAGAGGATTAAGCATTAAAAAATTAATATAACTCCGGGTAACATTTTAAATTATGTTAGAAAAGAACAATTAAAGTAAGAAAGAAAAGCAAATACATAAATAACAATTTGAAAAATAAATACAACATTAAGAAAACATTTTAATGAAAAATAAAGACAGATAGTGAAAAATTGACCAACGACAATATTTCAAAGACAATTCAAAATTTAATCAAATGAAGCATTAACAATTTTAAAATCTGATTCAAAGCGTTACCTGCAGGCTGCAACGACACCTTTAAAAGGATTGTGAGCGTAATTCTAAGTGACCTTCCATTCAAAGATGGCAATACCCGATTCACAACGATACCCTAGAAACCTTTATCTGATCTATAATGTATGTGGATTGTGTAAGATTGTATTTTGTCTAATCTGAAAATTGTTAATATCTGATAATTCTTACACGGTTTCCTTCTTAATGAGCAAACCACTTTGGTAGAGAAACCACAATTAAAAGGAATCTGCAAATATCAAAATTAAAAAGATTGATTGATATCTAATTCATACATGATCACACACAGCTTTTCATGAAGCATTTTACATTTTATTTTTTTTTCTGTCTTGACAATATATAAATTCCATTAACTCCTTCATTGTCTTGACAAGTAAATTTTTCAGAGAAAATTACTGAAAATTATCAATTTTCTGAGAGAAACACCAACATAACTTAATCTGTTTAACCCAACAATAAAAAATTTAAAAGGTACCCTTGTGAATTGGTTTTGAAGCAAAAGATGTACTTTTCACACCCTAACAACCAAAAGTTTAGGAAATATTTTTTCATTTTTGCAATTTTAATATTGAATTTTTTACTTTTAGAGAGGAAAACTGAGGTCCAAAAACCTCATCTATTGGGGGCAAGTAAACTGCCCCTTCAGAAGTTGAAAAGTAAACCAGCAAAATTTTCTCCACCAACATGTTTTTGCAGAGGGGTCGAGGTAAGAAAGAAATATTTTTTTTTCATGTTTTCACTAAAAAAGATGTTAAACCTTAGTAGCAAATAGTTAACCCTTTTTTGCCTTTTTCGTACTTTTTTTTGGAGGGTTGGGTGCTATGTAAAAATAGATAAATACTTGTATTTTTCTCCATTTATCTAATTATTAAAAAAAATTTATGTTTATGTTGCTATTTAATGATATCGAGGAAGAATGTCAGTTTTTTGTTATTTTCTTCACTGTTTTTATGCGGACATAGAAATGTGTTTTGAAATAAAGACGACTTTCAACCCATCAAATGTTTAAAACTTTCATCAAAATTTCAGTATTAAAGTGTGAAATAACGTCGTATTTTATTCCTCTTTATTACGCAAACCCCTGTCATAAAATTTTAATTTCCAAATTGCCAGATATTGTTTAAATTTGTATTCTGCAGTGTTATCGTTGTAGTTAGGTTGCATGGTTTAGTTTAGTTCACTTCTACAGTGGGAATACATATCATAATCACACTAACCAATTAATTGTGAAAAATATTTGAATAAAAATACTGCTCTAATCAAATTTGATAATACACATAAAAAAAAGAAGGTTTACAGGAAATTATGAAAATGAGGAAACAGATAATATTATTTCGAACAATCGTCTTTAACGGTTCATCCTTTGGGGATAACCCTGTAAGTTAAAAACTTTTTCCTAGTAATATAGCTGAAGATGAATAAAACATTATTTTGATTAATGCAAGTCGATTAAAAACCGTACTTGTGGCACAGTGTACAAAACACTGAATGCTCATTTACACAGACTGCTTATCTTCTTTCACAGGGTGGGCTACGTAGGCTTAAGTTGACCCGGCACGACATGCTACGTTTATACAATAGGTTTTTAGAGTGCCATCTCACGGCCACTTGTTGAACATAATACCCATTCAGGGGTTAAGTTTTACAATTTTTAAAGAAATACTCCAATTTTAAAAATAAAACATAACGTTTATGAATATTGTCTATTTTTAAAGATTTTGTATTTCCTATTTAAAGGATCCTTAAATATCCCTGAATACAGATGTCTCCTAATTGGTCGTGCACAGCACTTGTGCACAATAGAACATGCTGTGGAAAATATCGCATATTTTAGCTGATAATCGATCTCTGTAACTCTCTTATCTCTGCTCGTTTACAAAAATCGATTAGGATTTTGCTATAGTGATAACCAGAAAACTCCGGAATAGGAAGTCGACTTTTAGACTCAAGTTATGGTTTTAAATAGTCCAATGAACATGTGTCACAACAATTGTGCAATGTAAACAGACCCACTTCACATAATAAGTGATCTAATAATTTACTAGTAAAGCTATTTGCTTTGTAACAGCATAAAATGCACTTCACTATCGCTTTAATGTCGTCTTCCTATTCCACAGTTTTCTGATTATCACTGTATTTACTTCTTTAAACTAAAGCTAGTTCTAAAATAAACATGTCTAGAGCTACACACTTGTTTAAGGATACAGTAAGGTAAAACCATTTATGCATTGGCGGTGCAACACTTCAAAGTTGACACTGTCCTAAAAGTTGATGCATAAATATCCTAAAAGTATAGCTAGAGGTTGCGTGATTTCTTGATCTATTAAATACAAAAAATAATACTGAAATTAAACTGATTACTCACCACATTTTCTATTTTCTGACCCTCATAACTTTGCAATCTGATGTCGAAGACCATTGATTTTTCAAACAATCAATTCTGTAAGATCTACTAATTCAAAGGAAGTGAGTCTTTGTCACAGACTCTGATTTTCTAATCCCTATTTCTTTGCTACCAAAATTCTAATACTACCGTACTCCTGGTGTTAATACTACTCTACTACTGGTGTAAGTACTACCCTACTACTAGTGTTAATACTACCCTACTACTGGTGTTAATACTACCCTACTACTGGTGTTAATACTACCCTACTACTAGTGTTAATACTACCCTTCTCCTGGTGTTAATACTACCCTACTACTAGTGTTAATACTACCCTAATCCTGGTGTTAATACTACCCTACTCCTGGTGTTATACTACCCTACTCCTGGTGTAAATGGTAGTTGTATTGAAACCAGAGAGAGGTGAGGTTCTATCTGGTTCTCTTCACATCTCTCCAATAATCTTATTTCTCTACTCGTACTCCTTGAGTCCTTAGAGATATATATCGATTATCAAAATTATTCTTATAAAAGGAAAAACTTTTTTCTTAAAAGTTAGATTTTCGTGACAAGTATTTTTTACTTTTGTGAAATCAGATATGAAAATATTTATACAAGAAATGTTGTAAAAATCTATAATATCGGTGCATCAAAGCAAGCTTTTAAATTAAATATTTTTCTTTTTTAAATGCAAATATTATTGTTTTCTTTTGAACTTGACATTATTACATCATATAATGTTATGCAACAAATATGTAGATTTGAAACATTTAAAAAAAATAATGGGGGGGGGGGTGATGACCAATCCCTTTAAGAATTACGTGAAAGCTATTTTTGTCTGTCTGTTTGATTCTTGTTTAGGTATTTATCTCGTCATATTCTCCATTAGTAAAACAAATAAAGAATATTTTTATTGCAACCCCGCTTACTGTAAACCTTTTAGGCAAATACCTGAGGGGTGGATATAATACCCAGTATATTTGGTCAATTTTTGAAATATTTTTGATATTTCTTGGAACATCTGCGTTTTTCCACCCTCTTTGCGCACCAGCAAAAAGACAGAAAAATGTGATTTCATAACTTTCAAGTAATTATTTCTTCCACAAAAATTATGATATCATAAAAAAAAGGTTTTAAGATTAGAAAAAAATATCAAGGAAAAATAGTGTTAAAAGAAAAAAAAGTTTTCTTGATTCTTGGATGTTTAATCTAGATTCGGGAAGAAAAACGTTATATAAAAAATAAAAAAGTTTTTAGAAATATAAAAACCCATTTTTTATACATTAAAAAAACCTTTTTTATACATAAAAGACCTTTTTTATAAAAAAATATTTCATTATATAAAAAAGTTATTTTTTTTTATATAAAAAAGCTATTTTTGTATGTGAGGTTTTGATTTTCCTGGTATGAAAAATGGATAGATTCAAATAAAAAAATCGAAATAAATATTTTTAAAATAAAATAAAGTTGATTTGAAAAAGTTCATCTTAATTTAAAAATAGTGACACTTTTTCAAAAAATGCGCATAATTCATACTTTAATATAAAAAGTTATTGTGGCGCCGAGTACAACGAATCCTCAGATACTTAATATTCTTTGTTCCAGCTTTAATACTCATTTCTTCTTATAATAGTAGTTTATTATCCGGCCTATAGTGTGCTGTATATTTATTCTATAAGCATGGGGAGAATCATTTGTATAATATAAGGGAAAGAAACGGCATAGACGTAGGACTGGGCAACGGCCATTTTTTTAAATTTTCCTGCATAACGTTTTATGAGAGTTTTTTTAATTTTAACGTTTTTATAGGTTTGATGTGCTTGAATTTCGTTTTCTAACATTTACCCGCCGTTTTAATAGGAAATAATCGTCAACGTCCAATTTTCAAAATATCTTTCTTTAACGTCACTATAATAAGGTTGAAATCTTTACAGAATGGTTAGTTTTTAATAAATACCTTTAATTGAAAGTTCTAGTTAGGTTTTGAATAATTTACGATTACAAACGGGTTGAAAAACAGTCTGAAAAAAACTAATTTTGAAAACGTATCCACCCCCAAAGTAGGATCGTTTTGAACGTCTAATTTGCGCTCAAACTCAGGATTTACAGATCTTTAAAAAGTTTATTATGTCTCAAATGAATCCAAAAGAAGTTTTCCACAACACTGCATACTCAGTTCAACTACCTTACATAGCCGGTCATTCCCTTTAACAGTTTTCGTATTATTATACTTTAAGTTGGGCCCATTGCACATGAAAATTTCTTTGATATGTTGATTAAAATATGTAACTTGATACAACTAGCTAAACTAGTGTTTAGTTAAAACCCCGTGAAGAGGGGGTACTTCTGTTAAACCCCAAAGCGTGTGACAACAGTTTAAAGCATTAAAATTTACAAAAAGTATAAATGAGTTATAGTGAGGAAAATCAAATGCCATGGTTTTGCAACACTGTAAAGTCGATCCATGTCTTAAAAATTGATAAAACTTTTCTTTGGCGCCTGGATATATGTGTTATGAAGGGGGAGGGGTATCCTGGGTGCCTGGATATAAGTGTATGAAGGGGGAGGGGTATCCTGGGTGCCTGGATATATGTGTATGAAGGGGGAGGGGTATCCTGGGTGCCTGGATATAAGTGTATGAAGGGGGAGGGGTGGTACACAAAACAGAAAGTGCTTACAACGATCAAGTTGGACAAGTATAATGTGACATGTGACACCTGTTTCCCTAACTTTGAAAACTAAATAAATATAAAGTTTTGAGAAGAATAACAACTACGACATCTTTTCTTCTAATCTAGTTACATTGGGGCCTGTAAAATTGTGGAAAATGAAGACGATTATTTGACCTTATAGTTATAATTTTGAATATTCCAATAAATATGAACATGAAATATGATTTTTAACATAATAATTTTACAGCTTGATAACTTCACCACCACCAACAACAACGAAATCTTTGTTAGGGTTTTTTTCCAAAGGCATTTTCCACAGAATTTTCCATTTTTCTAAAGGTTCTTCCATAGGGTTACTTTTGCAAGGGCATTTACAGTAGGCCGGGATATACCTGGCTGAGATACTTTTGTGTTAATTGAAATACCGATTGTGAACGATTTTTGTGGTTTGTTAACGATTGATCGTTAACTGTGGCTAATGCCTGATAATTTTGTGAACATTTACTCGTTTACACGCTATATGAAATATATATATACATATAATATGAAATATATATATACAGGCTATATGAAATATATATATACAGGCTATATGAAATATTGCCGAACAATAATTTTTCATGATGGAGCATTTTTATTCAGTTTTATGAAAAGTCTATTTTGAATTGATTATTTAGAATATATAAACCCGATTTGACAAGCATTGAAAGTGTGCACAATTTTGGCTTTTGAAAGTTTTCCTGACATTTGATATTTAAACACTGACAAGAAATCATTTTTCCTCCTCCCTAAATATAAATTTTTCGTAATATTGTTATTTTCTAATAAATACTGTTCGGCGAAATAAATGATTTTCAATGCACAACAAATGAGTATTTCAAACTATCAATTCTGATTGATCTAATAGTTGTATTATCAAATAACAATGGGAGCAAAGAAGGAGAATAATACAATTTTATATTTTTTTTTAAGTTCTGAAAGTTCGTTTAAAAAATATGAAATTGCATTCTAAACAAGAAAAAAAACATTTTTTTCTGCTATAAATAAGATTGAAACTATTTGGCAAATGCCCTTGTTTTGGAGAACAGAGACATTCAAGACTATATTGAATTTCAGACATTTTCAATGTTGACATTGCATTCAATTCTCCAAAATTGAATAAACTAAAAATGAAAAAAGGTCGTCTTTTATCAATTATAACTTTAAATTCTACTAAAAACTAGTTTATTTTGACACCAATAAAAAGCATATTTTACTTATCGATTCAAGGAACTGTAAGCTTAGTTTGAAGCGATCCTCGCTGCAATCAGAGAAATGTTCAATCTACAAGCCTATGACTGATCATCGAGGGCAGAGAACTCCGTGTGTTCATCTTAAAAATTGTATTTTAACTCCCATATAACTTGAGTGAACGCATTAACAGTCGACATATATTTCTTGGAAATCTAAAATCAACTTCAGTCTCTGAATCGCCATCCCCCTCCATTCTAACCTCGAACTCTTGAATCGCCATCCCCCTCCATTCTAACCTCGTACTCCTGAATTACCATCCCATCCTCCATTCTAACCCCAAACTCCTGAATTGCCATTCCATCCTCCATTATTAAGCATTAAAATAATTCCATCTAAACACAATCCAGGTGTATTTTTTCCCAACATTGATGATGTTCTATTCAAGCATATAACTATGTATTCTGCTGTTTCTTAAATGTTTAATAAACTTCTGACCAGAGAGCTGAGAGAAATCTCAGAGAAAGAACATTCTACAATTTTTCTTATTTTTTTATCATTTTTAGCAGCGATTGAAGAAAACAATGACATTTGTTTAACATATAGTTACACTTACACAAGCTATTACGCTTAGTAAAAGTAAACATTTAAATCAAAAACCATATCCCTTTATCCTCAAGTTTTTATTCAAACAAAAATTCAAAAATAAATTGGAAAAATAATTTGTTTACCACGAGGAGATTTCTTTCTATTTTTTATCCTCCTTTTCTAGACACAAACATATTCTACACTAGGGTGTCCCAAAAAAATGTTGCATCTCAGATTTTTCCCTTGCTAACATTGATTTGATGAAAGGAAATAAACAACTTATATTTTTTTACAACAAATTTTGTGCGGAATGTGTTTTGCTCCGAAAATATTGTTTAGGATGGAAGCTAAAATCTTAAATACAGCCTATTTCTCTTGTAATTTACACGAATCATGTTGGTTATTTTGAAACCGAGGTCGCTAACCGCTATTTTGACCTCTCTGAACCATGAAAAAGGAGGAAACTCCATATGTGGAAATAAAGGTCAATGACAATGGCATAGTAATCTCAAGAAGAGGATATTCCCTTTGGTATATCGTCTTGTTTTACAGTTTTTAGTCAGTCGTATACTATAGATGCTACTTGCTATAGCTGCTTAAAATTCAGGCCTGTACTTAAAATGCATTGATAGGTTCATGTTAAAGTTGGCGTTTTTTGTTGAGACACTCCTTGTATACAGTATAGAGTTGATCTTGTATTCGTATTCCCATGATATCTAGAACAAGTATTTTCATCATAAAAACACAGTAGTACCTTCCTAACCCACTGCAGTAGTCTAGCTTACAGAACAGAAAGGGCGCAGATATTATCAGAATTTTAAGAAACTAGGTTTTTAGACAGCTTCGCGCCCCTCTTTACTATGTATAGTGTGCGTGTGGTATCCTCTGGACCAAATTATAATCTACCCAAAACTGTCCAAATAGAAGTGTTAACCATCAGTTTTTCTTTCTTTCCTCGTATATATAGAATATTTTTTTCCTTTCAACAAAAAATGGGCCCATTCTTGTTTATGATTAGGTTTTAAAGAAACTAGGTTTTTAGACAGCTTCGCGCCCCTCTTTACTATGTATAGTGTGCGTGTGGTATCCTCTGGACCAAATTATAATCTACCCAAAACTGTCCAAATAGAAGTGTTAACCATCAGTTTTTCTTTCTTTCCTCGTATATATAGAATATTTTTTTCCTTTCAACAAAAAATGGGCCCATTCTTGTTTATGATTAGGTTTTAAAGAAACTAGGTTTTTAGACCGCTTCGCAACCCTCATAATGTCATTGTTTCTTTCCGTAACATTAACAATCTAAATTTCGCAGTTTTTATGTTTTCACTGTTTTTCAAAATTCTTAAAAGTTCTTTTTGGAGACAAATTTCAAATTTTACCATTCATAAACCAATCCTTGGATCACTTTAGATTCCACAAAAAACTAAAATCACAAATGTATTAAAGTGATTGATGAGAATGTTAGAATGTAAAGTTTTCTACAAAATTCCTTTTATATAAGTGAACAATGTTCGTGAAAAAAGTAGAGTCTAATTGTTTTTATCGAATTGTTTTACCATCCACAAACCGTTTCCTCAATAAAATATGGAACCATTCTTGTTTATGTCGGAATCCATTCTTGTTTATGTCGAAAACCATTCTTGTTTATGTCGGAATCCATTCTTGTTTATGTCGAAAACCATTCTTGTTTATGTCGGAAACCATTCTTGTTTATGTCGGAAACCATTCTTGTTTATTTCGGAAAGCATTCTTGTTTATGTCGGAAACCTGAAATCACAAAGGAAAGGAATGTAGTCTTTGCCACAAACCCAAATTTTCTAAACCCAATAACTTTGCAGCCTTTTAATTTAAACCTTTGATATTTCAAACTTAGATTATTTGGTCTAACGTAGGTGATAATTTGAAATATTTAAGGTCTACGACTTTGGTTTGCAAAGGTATTTGAAAATCATAGTTTGTGGCAAAGCCTCAATTCCTTTATACAAGAGATGTAAGTGAAGTGAAATAAGTAATAAATACGTATTTATTTATTTATGAAATATAACAAAAATATACAAAATTAAGTGTTTTAGGAGAAAATATTTGAAAACCTCCAATTTGTTAAAACTTGAAGAAAATTTCAAAAATATTAATTTTAAATGTGAAAATATGTACAATGCACATGAAAATAAATAAAGTTTGATTGTTTTTATCGAATTTTTGTTTTTCTGGGAAAATAGATCAACTTCAAGAAAATCTGTTAAATCTAAATAAAGTTTAAAGTTGTTTCAAGCTTTTCACAATATTACACGCTTTTTCAAGATTTAATTATTTTTTCAAACTTTTTAATTAAACTTGATTTTTCATTTTCTCGAAGCATCCTTAGCAAAGTACAAGAATCTTATATCTGATGTTAATTATCCTGTGGTAAATTTTAATAAAGATGAATATATGTTTTCCAGAAAATTCCATTTTTTTTTCAAATTCAAATAGTTTTGCGGATTTTCTTATTCAAAGTTCCAAAAATATTTTTTATTTTATTTTTATTACATATATTTACGCCTAAAATACGAACAAAGCAAAAAATTTGGGAAATTTTGTTCAAAACATCGATAACCCCTGTTTTTTTTTTTACTGTTTTACTCTTTTATATTTTGTTTGGAAGTCCGGTCATATCTCATGAACCCCTTGACCGATTTGCCGCAAAATTTGGATGGAGAACTCAGGAAAACCATAGGAATGTTGGTTTTAAAATTCTAAGTTGAGTGAATCGACTTGTAGGGGGGAAAATGGATCAAATCGTAAACTGGAATAATTATGAGTACCCTGGGAAACGCTGTGTTTTAAAGCTAGTTAAATATATATTCTCCTTTGAATTTAGATAAATGATGAACATGTTTACTCCACCTTGTTGAATTTTATGCAGTTCTGACAATTTTTTTCATTTCTTCTCGGTCAATGTTTAGAAAAATGGTGATCCGGACAATTTAATTCTTGATTTAGAAATACATTGTTGCCATTCCAAGCCTTTCATTTTCCGGCCTGAAAATAAACTTGTAATCTTGGAAATTTTTCAAATTTAGAAATTTTGTAAAAACGTTGTCAAGATAAGTTAAAATTATGTAGATAGACAAAAATTTCTAATTTTCAGACAAAATCATAATTATAAAATGGCGGACATTATTTAACAATAAGAAGTGTACTTGATGCGTTAAAAAGAGCTGGGTTGGTGGAAACCAGGTGGAAGAAGTGTTTTGGATCGTTTTTGGTTTTTGACATAGTCTGTATAACTTAACATTTTCAAATTTTTTCAAATTTTTTTTTCCTATTTACACATTTACACATCTTACACGCACAAATTTTGAACCTGAAAAAAACGATCGTTTTTGGGTTCGTTTATTTTTGTAAGTTAAAAATATTTCAAAGCGCAAGAAAAGCAAGCTTTACCAGAAATGTTGAAAGTTTTACTAAAAGTTTAAAAAACGATCCATAACAATTAATAATTAAAAAGACTAGGTGCAGAAGGAATAAAATAATGTTTTCTTTCTGATGGATTCTAGCAGAGAAGAGAGGATGGGTTACACCAGGTAGTCTAGGGATGGGTATCGTTAAAATATTTAATATTTACATTCCGGAAAGGACTTGAGTCTTTATCACAAACTCAAATGTTCTAATCCTTATATCTCAGCAACTTGATGGTGCACACCTTTGATATTTCAATCTTAGATTATTTGATCTATTAGAATTCATAGTTTGAAATATTTTCGGTATTCGGCATTGGGTTGCAAAGATATAGGGATTAGAAAATTTAAGTTTGTGGCAAAAACTCAAATCCTTTGTCAAGATAGTTTTTTTCTGTCGTTAATTTACCTCAAACTTAAATTCTCTAATCTCTATATCTGTGCAAACTAGTTGTAAGAACCTTTAATATTTTAGACTGAGATTGCCTGACATAGCTGAATTCATAGTTTGAAATATCTAAAGTGTATAACATTGAGTTAAAAAGATATAGAAATAAGGCAATCAAAGTTTGTGGCCAGAACTCAATTCCTTTCGTTTACAAAAGAATTCTTACACACCCCTCTGTAATGATTTTCGATCACTCCCTTCTGAATAAATCAAATATAGATAAAGTAAATCATGTTGTGTTTATTGTTAAAAAGTGTTAAATTTTACTTTATAAGGTTTGAAATGTTTTGAAAAATATCCCTTGAGAGGGATAAATGTTAACAATATATTGTCGAGGAAACTAAGTTAAATTTATTCATTGAGTTCAAGTTAGGGAACTTGTTTTACTTTACACCTTCTTTACATAACACAAGGGCCCAGGTACAACCTAGAGATGGGCATTGTTTTTATTAAACGAACGAAATTTTTCGCGAAAAGTGGAGGTGTCGTCCAGAGAAAAACGAACAATGGACAAACGACTTAGGATCGTTCAAAGAAATGAAAAACTATCGTTTTATTTTAAACAAAAAACGAAAGATATCGATTGATTAAACGAACTTGAAAAAACTAACGTTTTTTAAGGATCGTATTATACTGAACGAACATTTTTTTGGATCAAACTTTTAAAACCGATTGTTTTTTACTGGAAAAACGATTTTTTTCCGACAAAATTTTGAAAAACAATCTAGTCTGTTTTTCAAACTATCTTACAGAACGTATGATTTTACTGAACGATTGTATACTGAGAAATGAACGAAATAGGTGGAAAATGAACGATATTTTTGAGAACGAACGAAATAATTTTTTTGTGAACGATTGAAAAAAAAACTAACGAAATGGGTCGTTCACGAACGATGAACGAAAGAAATTTAAAAAAAGTCATCCGCGCCCATCACTAGGTATACCTGGTGAACGTTAGGGATGTGCATTGTTTTTTAGGTTTTAAACATTAAACATTTTAAACATAAAATTTAAAAGGTTGAGATAATGTTTATTTCTTTATTACTCCATAATCATAAATAATTTCTCTTATTACGCTATGCAAAATTTTTGCTCTGAAGTCGACATTTATTTCAAGATACAACTTTCTCTTACCCTATTTGATTTATATGATAAGTGAGCGATCACAAATTGTTACCGAAGAAATGATCGAAGTTTGAATTGTTCTTTATGTGGACGAAAATTCCCTGGTTTTCCAATTTTAAGTTCTTTAGATAATTTCTTTCAACGTGCAATTTTGGAAATAGAAAAAGAAATACAAATGACAACTTTATTTTGCTGGCTTGATCGTTTTTAAATCGTTTACAGGGTTAAATGAAAATTTTGGAAAAAAAATTATTTTGTCCTTTCCCTTTCATTTCAAGTTTCAAGTTTTAGCTGTTCTCTTCTTTCACAAACATTAAAATACTTTAGTTTTATTCTTTGTATGCAACCCTTTATCATTCGGAAAAGCCCAAAAAGTAAACCAAACGTCAACACGCGATGTTTGAAAATATCTGATAATCTCAAAAAAGTAAAATCAATTCATAAAGTGACAAAACGCATACGTCCTTACCTAATAACCGGCCAAGTTTATATTTTATTTCCCTGTGAACCTTGTTTAGAAGTTATTGTTAAATTTGCTGGTTTGGTTTAAAGTTTTCTGGTTTGTTTATTTAACAATGTAATGTAAACAAATAGTTTCCGATTGATGGATTAAAAAGGAAAAGGGGAGGAATAGAGAGGTAGGGGTTATATCTTAATTAAATGAACTACGCAAATGTAGAGAAATAAATTAAATGTAGGGGGGGGGGGGCTGAGTGTAAATGCGAAAAGAATTTCATAAAAGTTTTAACTGCAAGTATTTATGATTTGTACTGAAAACATACGTTGTAAATTAAAATTGAAATTACACCAATATAGTCCCTTACAGGAACTATAAGCGTAATTTCAAGTCATCCTCGTTACAAAGATCCCGATGCCAGATTCACAACGGTACCCTTTAATGTCTTGTCTGATCAGATATAATTTTGATATTTTGCAGAAGTCAGAAGTTATCAGAATTAAACACTTTTCTAATATAAAAAAAACGACGGTATCTTACACATTTTTGATCAGGTTTCAATGGTACCGTCGTAAAATTGGGCATTGTCATTTTAGCATGGAGGGTCACTTTGAATAATGCGTACCGTCTCTTCTACTGTGCAGAATTTAAACCTCTACCTAACTCAATATAAAGTTTATTCCTACTCTTCATCCAGGTTCCTACTCCTAGGCTGAAGGGAGGTAAGAGTTCCTGGTTTAGTTACTACCAGGAGCAAAGGAGTTTAGACCAAGAACAAGGAGAAGAGCTTCAGGAACACCCACACAAAACCTTTACTAAACCAGTGGGGGAGCTTCAGAAACACCTTAACAACCCCTTTACTAAACCAGTGGAGGGGGGCTTCAGGCACCTTTACAACCCCTTTACTAAACCAAGGGGGGAGCTTCAGGCACCTTTACAACCCCTTTACTAAACCAGGGAGGAGCTTCAGACACCTATACAAACCCCTTTACTAAAATAGGGGGGAGCTTCAGACACCTATACAAACCCCTTTCCTAAACCAGGGGAAGCTTCAGACATCTTTGCAACCCCTTTACTAAACCACGGGA